TTTTTTTAATACAATTAAACTATACCATAAACTCTTCATTTTGGTGAGGGGAGAGGCAGGAGGGACTCCTACTCATTGCCTTTTTCCTTGTCTGATTTAACACTTCTTACGTCACCCTGGAATCCTTTGGTGGTGTTCCAGAGTCCTTGTGTGAACTAGTGCCACTTAGATGCCTTTTTATGAGCTTGAAAGAGATTGAAGAACTGGTGACTTTTTAAGGGGTATTTGCATGCCATTCCTTTGCAATTCTGTGATAGTTTCCAAAATCTATTTAATCTTGTCAGTCATCTCTGTTTGCTGTTTGAGGAGGCGCCTCAGAGAGATTCATGAAATGTCGATTAAATACTGGACAGGTTAATGAGTATTTTTAATTTACTGCATTTTGGATATATCGGGCAGGGATTCTCTTATGGATGAGCGCACACAGAGCTATTTCACCAGAAATCCAGAACTACAACCTGCTGCGTTTTGGTTCTAGAAGAGCTCTACAGGCTTTCAATTGATTGCAGCGTAATACTGTTCTTCAAACAAATCACACACAACCTCCTATGCCTTCTCTGCAGTCGGTTAACTCCTTTGTAACAGCTGAGCGAGCACTGCAGCAGCAAATCTGGGTCACTCAACCTACAAAGGACAAACAACTACAGATGACAAGTGCTTGTGTGCTTTCTTTTGCTGAAGAAGACACTAAAATTACCTTCCAACTCTTACTCGAATTAAAAATTACCCAAGGGGAAAAGAACTAATTCTTAAAAAGACAACTGTTATGTCTTAAACCCACACAGTCTCAGCCACGTATTACTCCCAACTAAAGAGCAGAAATGCAAAAATAAAAAGGCAGTAACCAAACTTTCTGGGAGAAAGGGGATTTCATTTCCCTAGTGTGTCTAAGAAGGGACATACAAATGAGGTTACTGGGGACTCCAGACGGGTGTTCCTATGCTGGCCTCCAAACAGTGCTGCAGCAGCATCTCTTCACTCTACCAGCTCCAAAATATCACGGTTTTTAGCTGTGGAGTACTGCCATATACACATTTTGTCAAAATAAACCTTAACTAAATGGGTTTTACAGGACCAATGAATGCATTGGCTGCTAGCACAACTTTGTGCAGGATCAGCATTTTCCACAATCATTTATAAATATGATTACAGCAGACCAGAGAGTATGAACATTGCTAAATTGCTGCCCGATGCCAAGTACTGTCAACAAATTTGTTAGTATAGTTTTAGATTAAGAAAACAAATCATATGCTCAGCTGAAGGAATACCCTCTATTTAAGGCATAATCTCTCATTTTGCAGCACTGTGCTTATAAATCCTTTGCAGCTTTGGGGATCACCTTCTCCAACAGAGCAGATGTAGTGATTTCTTATTTTTTATATATATCTCTGAATATTAAGGGATTTTTTTCTAATATTAAACAAAATGTTTTCTTAAGCGACGAGGACTATATGGAGGTGAAGGGAGATCGCATTCTATGGCAATAAAGCCTTATGTATAGTATAAGAACAAAATGCAACTAATAAAAGTGATTGTTACAAGTAGCTTTGCACAAAGATGAATTCCTGTATCCCAGAAAACATTGAACGGCTCTGTCTGCACTCTTCCTTTGGAGAATCCCTGCCTAACGTAGTCTAAATGCAGTAAATTAAAAATACTCAGTAGCCTTTCCAGTATTTAATGGACATTTGGAAGCTGTGCATCTCTCTGAGGCTCCTTCTCAAACAGAGTTTTTGTTGCCGAAGTGAACTCTGCCATGAGGTGGTGATGGCTGGAAGAGACCCAGAGGTGAAGACGGCACAGCTGGGAGTTTTGCAGCCTCCCTTTCCTCCCCGGTGGGTGAGACCCTGTCCAGCGATCTGCGTGCCTTGCAGCACTGCCTCTCTGAATGGCAAGTGATGCCTGCAAGATCTCCTGTTCTATAATCTCCTTTTCCATGGTGTCCTCTCCATTCTGGAGATGGATAGCTTCTTTTCAGTGTGCTCTGCTTGGATTTTGCATAGCTGTCTGGTTTGTCTGAGACTTCTGTAATTACTGTCCTTGGTGGAGTTCCTTTAGCCACAATTCTGGTGTAGACGAGTTGCTGAAACTGGAATTACCCAGACACGTAGCCTTTCTCCGCATAATGTCCCATAATTATGGCCTGTGGGCATCTGTATTCTCAGTCACAGTGATAGAAATGCTAATGCGAAAAACATCGTTGGCAAACAGAAGAAGAGATGTGTGAAGTCCTTGGAGCCTGGTGTTCTCAAACAAAATCTGCCTTGTTCTGGGGGACAGATTGGGGTCTGATGTCAAGACAGAAGGATAGTTGGAGAAGGTGGTACCTGTGTTTTTGTTTCTGCTTTAAAATGTTTAAAAGTTTTGGTTGGTTTTTTTCCCTTGGTTTATTTTACATTTTAAAAATGCTTTTGTTTACTCTGTTAGCCTTCCAACATTGGATGCCAGAGATCTATAGAAAAACCTAGACTAATTTAGAGGAGAAGGTCGTGTTTGTCCCCTTTTTAGGTCTGTCTGGTGACAGGCTTTATGTTCAACTCAATAGCATTTCTGAATGTGGGTAGTGTAATGCAGATAGGGTTTGAACGCTGCAAGTGAGAAGTGTGAAAAATTCAGGGGATATTCTAGGCACCACTAGACAGAACTATATTGATTTAGGAGGAAATCCCAAGGAGGAAATAGTTCTTGTCAACTGATTACTTGAAGTTATGGTTATGCTACTCTTGCAGACGTCTATAAATTAAACTGCCAACAGTTGGCATCTGCCACTGTCACAGTGCTATAGGTCATCCTTCCCGTAGAATTTAGTCTGATGCCAGAGTGACTTACCTGCCATGTGAGGGAGCATTTGGAGTCAGGAGGAAGGCAGATTGTGCTTGGAAGATGTATACATAGCCCCAGCACAGAGAGGAGACTGGGGGCATAGTGTGGGACAGAGGTAAGCAGTGCCCAACCCTCTGGCAAGCAGATATTGAGGGACCGTGGTACAGGAGTAGAAGAGTCCTGGGCAAAAAGGGGTGCCCGTGAATGATATCATGACCTGAACTGTCATGTGCTAAATGCTTTCACATGCTGGTGGTTCTTTTCATGCTGAAATTCTGGACTTGCTTGAATTCTGTCTCCAAGTTGCTATTTTTCCTCCCTTGATTCATGTGGAGGTATTATCTGCCTTATCTAAAACAGGGAGGACGTCATGTTGATTTTGAGGACATTTTCCTACCTCATAACTTGCCAACAATGCAGCATCTGAGAAGTTTAAATTGGAATTAGCTGACATTTTCCTACTCTCCCAGGAATTCAGGAGTCTTTGAAGAACAGCCCATCTATGTGGGCGGAAGGTAGTGAGCTTGAGGGGTGATTGATTCTGTCTGGAAACCTCTATGCTGATTCCTAAAACCAGGAGGGAAGGTTTTATGTAGCTTACGGTCAGTGGGGACTTTTTTTTCTCCATCTTTCTTTTACTGGATAGTTTCAGCTCGGAGTAGCTGAAGATGGATTGAAGTATCGTACCTAATTAGGAAGATGTAAAAAGATTTATTTTTCTTTACAGAAAAGGCCACAGATGGCTCTCTGCAGAGCGAAGACTGGACACTTAACATGGAGATCTGTGACATTATCAATGAGACAGAAGAAGGGTATGTGCGATTTCAGCAAACTTTGAAAGGTTCATGAACGCAATCTTTGTCCAGTCGTACTCAGCATGTGAGGAGATGCAGTGAGTCTGGAGGCAGGTGCTCATAGTTGGAAGGCAGTTTGCATATGAGTTGCTTAGTTTTCTTACTCCTTAGACATTTTGGAAAACTACTGTTTGATGCAGCACTTTCCGTGGTCGATCTCTGCTTGGGAGGGCTGGCATGAAAAATGTGTTGTTGGAGAGGGTACCAAGTTTGTACCTCTGGGGTTCTTGTTTTCAGCAAGTGTATCTCTTTGCAGTGCTGCAATGCTATTAATTTCAGCCATTTGAATAGAGAGGTTCTCTGATACATCTCCTTCAGCATCAGAAAAGCTGTGCTGCTTGCAGTTTGCAGGAGAACTGATCACCTGTCTTATGCCCTGGCCTTTTTCTGAGTGGCTGTCAATCTTTCCTGCTTGATCAACATCCTGCCTTTTTGGAGGCCTTGAGCGTTGCTCCAGTCTTGACTTCTGTGTTACCTTGTCTCCTCACATAATTCTATATGACCCTAGTTTGGTTGTAGTCAAGTAATCTGAAGTTAACGCACATGCTTGTGTCCAGCTGGAAATGGTAAACGATCCCTTTTCCCACAGTATATGGCATGTGAAAAGCGTGTCTGAGCTATCTTTTAAAAATGGTGTGTTTCTCCTTCAGCCCAAAGGATGCCATTCGAGCACTGAAGAAGAGGCTGAATGGAAACAAAAATTACAGAGAGGTCATGCTGGCGCTGACGGTGAGTGGGGGCAGGCTGGAATGCCTCAAAAGGGCAGAACCCTTTTCTTTGGTCATTTTCCTTTTCCTGGCACTCTCCTGAATGTACACACTATTTGCTTTAACAGCCACTGCTCTGTCCTTTTCTTCTCTCCAATTGCCTCCTCACTTCCTTGGGGAGAGTTGCTGGAAGCTTTGCACAGCGTTTTTCTGACTCAATTGATTTCTACTTTTTTTTGGGGCTCTTACTCATCCCAAGTACTGACTGGGGAAAGTTAAAGTAGCCCAAATGGGTCTGTGAACTCTTCCAGGCTTTCCCTTCTACTCTCATCTCCCTGTGTCCAGCCATTTCTTCACTGCAAGACAACAGCTGTGGGCATATCTGCAAGTGAGAATGATGAACTTGCCATGTTTTCAGCTTCAGTTTAAATTCTTCACAGTGGGGGTGGTGAGGCAGTGGCACAGGTTGCCCAGAGAAGCTGTGGATGCCCCATCCCTGGAAGTGTTCAAGACCAGGTTGGATGGGGCTTTGAGCAACCTGGTCTGGTGGAAGCTGTCCATGCCCATGGCAGGGAGGTTGGAACCAGATGTTCTTTAAGGTCCCTTTCCAACCAAACCATTCTGTGATTCATAAGTAGCTGATGCACAATTTCCCTTGTGAATGGATCTCTGCAGGAGACTTACATTAATTTATGCTGATGTAATTTCACTCAATAAGGTGTAAATTGTATTCTGTGCATTTAGGCAGCACTGCTAAGGTGTGAGATAATTTGCCAATCCTGCTGATGACTTTAGCTAGATGTTTCCTGGGTAATGCAGCACTCCTGAACATGTGGTGCTGGGCAGGCTCTGCGCCGGAGCAGTCTGAGGAATGAGCAGCAGTAACTAGATCGAGTTATGCTGCTGTGGGTATGTGATCTGTATGATTCTTTCACAGAGCTCTTGTTGCATCTCCCTGATGAAGCATGACTGTACTTTCTGTCTTCTTGCCATTTCCTATCCTGGATTGTCATTTTGACAGATTACCAAAGACCAAACCACGAGATTATCCATTGTGCAGGAAAGAGCAAAATTCATCAGGAATGAGGCCGTGTCATCATGGCTGATGAAAGTAGCTGAAGTAGGAGAGTAATTACAGACTCCTCATATACAGAGTTGCAGTGGTTATTAGGCATGGCTGTAAGGAGAAGTGACGCATTGGATTTATCTCCATGCTAATCATGTTCTTCAGAGAAAAATCAACAGCTGTTCTTCTGTGGCAGTTGAATGGCAAGTGGAAGGTGCCTCTAGCTAGGTTGCAGGGGGAAAATGTGTCAAAGTATAACCTGTCAGAGCATTCACAAGGGAGTGTTTTGAATGAGTGAAGATCATTCACCTGAATTCCCAACTCTAAAACATGGCTTATAGCTCAGAGCAACCGGGTCCAGCTGTGTTCCAGGTACATCGAAAATGGTGGAGTGCCACAGCACGATAATATCTCACTGTGACGGGATGTCCTCTGTCTTACCTGTTCTTGATGTGATGCTGTGTACTTAGCTGTTCAGCTGCGCAGGTTGGAAAGTTCTGCTTTGAAGAGGAAGAAACTTTATGTTTCTTTACCTTGAAAACAGGCAAAGGTAGATCACCAAAGTGCCCAATATGTTAATGGTGGGTGAGGTACATCTAAATGTGTGTGTAGAAAGGAAACTTTTTGGTAAAATTGGGGAAGAAAAGAAGAATTAAGAATCTAAGTATAATTTCTTCTCTATCTTCTCTCCGTCCCATCGAAAGTTTTAAAATAAAAAAAACCCCACCTAAATGAGTAACCAACCACATAGGTGCTCTGTGTGTGATCAAGCTTTGCTCCAACAATGAATGTTTTTTTGTGTGTGTAGGTGTTGGAGACCTGTGTGAAGAACTGTGGCCATCGCTTTCATGTCTTAGTGGCAAACCGTGACTTCATAGATGGTGTTCTGGTGAAAATCATCTCACCCAAGAATAATCCCCCTACTATTGTACAGGATAAAGTACTAGCGCTGATTCAGGTACACAGCTTGTCTCTGCTTCCATATGTTGCTGCCTGAAATAAGGACTGTCTGCTTCAGTACTACGCATTGCTAAACATGCTGTCACCATTAAAAATGTGGCAAGTTCTTTATACGTATAAACAAACAATATATGCAGATTGACAGGGAAGAGCAGACATGCACACGCATAGATATTTTATCCAGGGAGAAATGTCTGGATTCCAGTTAGAAAGGTACCACTCTAAACTGAGATGACTTAATAAAAGATAAATGGATGGCTTTGCAATTTAACAGTCACATCTAGAAGCTGCAGACCTGCTTCTGTGATGGGCTTGTCATTTGAGGCAAGGAAATTTTAGAGGATCGTGCTTTCTCTGTCAGTTGCAGAACACTTACCTTTCTGTGTCTGTTCCCTGACCGTAAAATGGAGCTGTTTCCCTCCATTAGAAAGCATTCTGAATTCCTTTTAAAGATGGTTATAGAAAAGTAAATGACCATATAGGAGTTAAAATGGTTTTGGTGTCTTTTCTCTGGTTATTGTGCAGTAAAAGTGCGCTGTCAGATCCTTGCCTGCAGTGGGGAAGTTCAGACATAGGCCTGTCTGCCACTTCTCCTTCTGTGCAGCATAACAATAAACAGCCATGTTAATTCCACAAACCATTAGCAACACATGAGGAAACATTGGTGCCTGCCTGGAGGAAATCTGACAATTATAGGAGGCTTTATCACTAAGCTTCTACGGGCTATTGCGTACACCGGAGACTAAAAGACACTGCGTATTTAAAATGATATAAACCTGCTGCAGTGTTTCTTGTGGGAAGGTATTTACAAATGCGCAGCATAGTTTTCCAAATATACTTCTGATTTTTGTGGCAAAGCATGCAGTTGCATTTCTGCTGGTTTATTTGTTATTTGGATACACAGATAGGACATCGTTAGAGCGTGACAATGTAAGTAAGTGATTTCCGATGAGGAAGTAGGCTGGGCGGGGGAATTAGGTGGGCATTGCACTGCGGTCTATGGGGTCCCTTTCTTTCTGATCTCTGATGTCAAGGGTTTTTTAAAAAATAGCACAAAATTAATGACATTATTAAAAGCAATTCTTGTGCGTCTGACTGAGTCCCCGAGTGTCTGCCTGCTCTGGTGGGAGAGCTGATGCACACAGTGACCAGGAGATGAGGTTAAATATTGTCCCATAAAGAGAAACTGTGAATGTTTCCACACTGTTTGCTCTGCTACAGTGTTTTAGAGAATGTTGGTTACGCTGGGTCCTGGATTTAAGTGGCTTCCCAATCATCAACACAACGAAGATGGAAGCGTTTGTAACATAACCAAAAAGCCGCAGTCATTGCCTCAGTGTATTAAACAGAGCTTTATCCGAGTAGACTTAGTGCAGTAGAGCTAAAAGCCTCATTCTAGGTGCTAAATGCCTTTTGATATAAAAAGCCTGAGAATTATGAAAGTTGCCTGTGGGTGGGTTCTGTTAGTGTCTCTTTAGCTGGAGGTGGTAGGGGACTTTGTTTTCCAGATTGCCTGACAAGTTTGGAAAAGTGATTGCAGTCACTCATCTCTGCTGCCCTATGGACACGCACACCCAAAATATCCCGTACGTCATGACCACTTTGCTCAGCTTAGACTTTGCTCTTTAGAGCTCCCTGCAGTTGGAGTTAGCTCTGTTCCAGGGGGCTGATCTCTTCTCAGCTCTGTTCCACTAACGTTACATTTATCCCATTCTGTAGGCTTTTTACAATTTGATATCAGGGAATTAATAAGAACAGAAATGAGAGGATTAACAGCACTTGAAAGCATGGAAAAAAGCTGTACAAACAGCATATGTCTTCAGCCATACAGCTCTTATACTGCTGGGCCTTTCCATAGCAAGGGCAGATGAAGCTGCTATCCAATTTCTTACCTAGAGACTCGACTGTTTTGAGATGTTGGGCATCTTGTGTCTCACCTGTTTCCCAGTGTACATGAATTAGCATGTATTCCGTATTGCTTATCCTTCCTTCTTCACCTTGCTAAAAGGCCGAGGAAGTATTCCGTATTGCTGTGCCTCTCTGGTAAGAACTTGCAGATCACCTCAGAGTTCATACCAACTTACTGCCCAGTAGCTGAGCACTTTCACGTCATGAAAGATGAAGCACAGGGAGACTTCTAGTGACATGGCAAATTCTTTTGAGGGTACATGTGTTTAAAAAGTGTTCGACACTGGAAAAATTGTCTTGGGATGGTCAGTGATGTGGGGGCCAGATTTTCAATGGTATTTAATTAACCTGTTTGGGCACACTGAGGTGCCAAGTGGGATTTATACAGCAGCATCCTTAAGCATCTACCTTTTGATAGCCTGGCCCAAAGTTTTAGAAGATCTGAATTCAATCTCACCTCTGTCATATGCTTGTTTGGACAATGGGCAAGTCTCTAAGCTCTGTGTGTAGCTCCTTATCCGTAAAGCAGAGCTAATATTACCATTACCTATTTGAATTGTAAGCTGTCTAGGACAGGGATTGTCTTACAGTGTCTGTAGACAGCACTTAGGACAATAGTGCCCAGTCCTGCTTCTGACCTCTGCGAGACACACTAATGTAGGTAATGCTGCCAGCTCAGGCAGAAGAAGAATACAAATGAAAGTGTCTCCTTTCTCCAGGAAAGAGAGTTGCAAAAGAGAGAATATATTAAAAAGTTAAAGTGCAAATGAAGTGAGTTCACTGTCATTAGTGCCTACAAGAAAATCTATAGGAAGCGAGCGAAACAGAGGATGCATTAGTGCATCCTCCTGGACGAACAAGCCTCATTAAAAGTTGGGGGCAGCAACGCAGCATACTTCTGCCTCGAAGTTTCTTTTGAGTGATTATTAAATAGAGCATCCCTTGCCTAACATTTTTCACTCTTATTTGCAAATAGAGTTGACGTGGGGAACACCATTATGGAGAAGCATCATTCAGATGACTTCTTATGTAAATTGAAAATGCAGAGAAAGTGCAAGGGTGGAGTTATTTGTACAGTCAGTACCTCCGTCAGAATTAGGGTTGGTTTGGAAGGTCAATTCTGAGGAAACAGTACGGCTCTTTGCAGTCGAAGCTGTTTTCTCTCGCTCGGATGGGGCTGTTTGGACTTGTACTGCATCAGAACAGTTGATGCAGTTAATTTACTCTTAACAAAGCTGAAAAGCAAACCCAGAATTGTTAGCTTGAATCTGATAATGGATTGTCTCCTGGGCATGAAGGATAGGAAATGCTCGCTCTTAGAATTGAACAGAATAGGAATGTAAGTTAAATGTTAGTATTATTCCTTATCTTGCTTTGCTATCTTTGATTTCTCTTCTCTCAAATATAAAAAGTGATTAAAACCAGCTTTTAAAGTAAAAATAGTCAAAGAACTAGTAAAAGTGATGACTATATGAATTAAGTTCAGAGCCCACACAGACGTCTCGCAGTAGTTCTGGATCTGGCACACTGATACTCTGCCTCATGTATGTGGGGGTTTGTGGAATGCTTCATCTTTAACAGAATCATAATATTTCACTTTTTCCTTCCTCTAAATGTTTAATAATTGGCTGATTTCCAGCAAAAGTGAAAGGGGGTAGAGGCTTTCAAGATACTATGCTCCTAGCAACTTCATGGGTGCAGGAGGCTGGCTAGAGAAGAGAAACATTTGTTGCTCCCACTGAGGGAGAAGCTCAAATGTGAACCAAAGTCTTTTTCGACACCAGAGAATTCATGCGGGAGAGATGAGTGTTCTGGCTGTGGGAAATTCTCCCTTTAAACTTGTTCTTTCTGACGCACCAGGGCGTCTTAAGTGTTGGATATGCTCTGTAAGAATGCAGGCTTCATTAGTTCTGCTGCTCATGGGACTGCATGTTTCACAATATAAGAACTCAGAAACTACCTTTTTTATTTAAGTTTGGTCCAAATAAAATACTGAAGGAAACTTCACAGCTGTGGTTTTTTCTTTGGTAACAAATGAGGGTGTTTCACAAAGTAAATTGTGGTTACCTAAGATTATTGTATGACTTTATGACTTTTGCTTAGATCAATTTAATCTTTCACATAGACTTTTTCTGGTGGGTCGTTGGCCATAGCATATGCAAGAAAAGATCAGCACACAGTCGCTGCTAAGTAGAGGAGGTTGGAAGAGGCTTTCATTTGCATTTACAGATTTTGATGATGTCAGGGGCTAGACATAGCTACCGTGCACTGGGTTCCTGTCTACTTTATATTTGAATAAAATGTGTACGTGACTGTCTTAATAATATTTGCAGGATCTTTTAGACCTGGTCTAATGATTACAGCTTCCCTTTGAAGCTGAAATACACAAAAGCTTTTGTAGTCAGTATCTGAGGTCAGGGTGGAGCTGGAACTTTGTTTGGAAGTTTTATGGATAATCCCTCATGTTTTGCAGGCTTGGGCTGATGCCTTTCGAAGCAGCCCTGATTTAACTGGAGTAGTGCATATTTATGAAGAGCTCAAGAGGAAGGGCATAGAGTTTCCTATGGCAGATCTCGATGCTCTGTCTCCAATACACACACCACAGAGGGTAAGCTGCAGCATTGCAATTCCAGGGTTATTTTCCCAAGATGTCTAAATAGTTGGATAACTAATCTTCTTTCCCCTCCTGTTTCTCTGAATTTGGCTTATTTTCTCACTCCTGGAAAGGCTTTTTTAATAGTGAAAGGGCACATAGGAGAAGCGTAATACAGCTGCGTTTGACAGGCTGATAAGCTAATGGTATCTCCTCCCTTGAGTCAAACATCAATCTGAGAAAAGAGTTTGGAGGAGGTTTATACACTTGTCTTGTACCACAAAACCACCAGAAAAATGCAAATAATTTGTTCAAAGAGAGTCCAGCAGGTTGTATGATTGAGACTTACTTCTTTTGCTCAAAAGTATGATTGTTTCTCTTGGCAATAACCCTGAACCAAGGCCTGCCCGTCGTGGTTAAAGGTGTACAGAGTCTGAATCTCTCACTGATCCCGTGGTAATGTGAGATCTTTACACCTCTGAAAAGTTAGGTCTGGAAAGTTGACAGAAATGCTGCTAGGAGGTAACTTAATGATCACAGGTGTTCTGATTATTCACTCTGAAAACTGAAGTTAATGAATCTTTGAAGTGGTAAACGCAAGTGATCAAGGACTGAAAGATTACAATTCTTCTGTCAAGATGAATTAAATTCAGTAGCTAGGTATCACAATTTTTTGTAAGCCTGCAGCTGAGATCTTCGTTTAAAATAACACATAATTATTTATCTTTGGCTCTTGTTTTTATTTTGCTTCTCACTTTTCTTGTAAAGGTAAATTGACTTAAATGCATGTGGGCTGGGTCAAAAGATATGGGCATGCATTTTTGTTGCAGCTGTCTGTTTATGGGCTGTCCTGCCAGTCTGTTCTCGTAACTACACTGACCTTTTCCACAAGGTGCAATTATATTCTATATTTGAGCATATTTGGCCTGAGGTTGCTGACAAAGCAAGTGCTGTCACAATTCAACTTTTGAACTGCTGTCTTTCTGATGTGGCAGAGTGTTCCTGAAGTTGATCCTGCAGCAAATATGCACAATTCACAGTCTCAGCAAAGAATGAGCACCAGTTCTTACTCTTCATCTTCTCCAACGGCGTATTCTGCTCCTCAAGCCCCAGCTTTGAATGTGACTGGTCCCATCACTGCTAATTCTGAACAGGTATTGGGATGATGATTCTTTTGAGTGAGACTATTTCAGCAGATCAAATTAGAAGCCAATTTGCAGAGGAACTTTCATTTTAACTCTTCTGACTTTGATTGCCTCCTAGCTCTGGTTCTACTTAGTAATCTTTCCTCCTATTATACTATAAAATCTAGGCTTTCAATTTGTATGTATGGCCTTGTAATGGCAGCAGTTCTAAAGCCTCCCAATCTGATATACCAGTCCACTCAGAGGTTGTGTGGTAGGTTAGCAGTTATTCTCATTAGCCTCCCTTCTTTAAAGGCACAGAATGTCTTGCAGATGCAGGAAGTCTGACAGGGAGTTAAGTCTGCACCCGTAAGACCCTTGCAAATGCCCTGATATAGGATCTTCTTTTCTCTCTGCAAAAATAATAACTTCAAAGTCAAAGA